CTGTAGTAAGTGGTTTGCATAGTTGACATTGTTTTCCCACAACAAGGGTGACCTGTGGAGACGCCGCTGCAGGGATCAATTCTACTAAAGATGAACAAAGCAGGAAGTAGTTTTACAACATTAGTCCTTTGATCCTGGAGATGTTCTTCAGGTGGTAGAAGGCCCACTTTGTTCCTGTCTCTATGAGCCTCTGCAGGTTCAGGTCTGAGTCCATCACTACACCCAGATTAAGAGCCTGATGCTGGTTTCTAACTGGATTAACTGAAGCTGGGTGCTAACTTTGAAACAATCTTCCTTTGGTCCAAAAACTGTTAATTCAGTAAGATTAGATTCAGCTGAAGAACATTTTGTTCACCCATAAGTGGATTTCTTCCATGCATTTACGCAGAGCTGGAAAGTCACCCGCTGACTCGGTGATGAACAGCATGATGTCATTATTTTCTGTTCTCTGTGAATTAACAGGACACCACCAGCTTTTGACCATACTTAAGATGCCATCTTGTATAAGAATGGTAAAATCAATCAAAGTAGTATCGCAATTTGGAGACATTTTACACTAAAGTTGCAGGACTGGAATTTCGATGACAACATGAGCCTCCGGGAAAAAGAAAAAAGTGTCAAACTAACATACAGTAATAAGATCAAAAGTGGCCGTTTTGATTATGCTAACCCACATGCAGACTGACTCATTTTCATGTTTAGACAAGAAATTGTTTAGTAGCATATTTTGGCACACCTCTGCTTTTTGCATGCAATGTTTGGATCTGTTCATGCTACAGTGTGTGTCTGTTTATGGAGGTCTGAGGGCTTTGTAGGCATATTTGTGTTGTGTTTAAAAGCTGCACTGACGTTCACAAATCTCTGAACTTTAACTCTGCATCCTCTTGTTAATGTTTATAGTGTCTCACAGTAAGTGCTGCAAGTAGGAGTATTACTGATGGGAAGGTTTAAGAAGAGCTAAAAAGACTGCATATAGCATAACCATCATAGTTTGGTATAGGATGGATAATTGTGGAGCACAAATTAAAGTGATAAAGTTTGGATGGAGCTGTGCTCCATCACTGTATTGTGCTATTATACCTTTAAATAACAGTTTAGAATTACTATAATTATTTCAGTGGATTTGAATTAAGATTAATGAAAATACTTTTATGAATTTAGATAGTATGTATGTAAAAAACAAACAAAAAAAGTATGTAAAAACATTTTTTTAATTAAAAGCCAATTTAGACAGGTTTATTTGCCGTTACTGGATAAGAGCCAGACATTTTGTAGACACCTGGTTCAGTACGATTTAATTGTAAAAACTAACCCTAACACTAGTTTCTGTGAAGGATAGTAATCAGTGAATCACACATGGTTTTGGTTTTCCTGTAGATCCCACAGAGATAACAGTGTGAGAATGTTTCAGTGTCTAAAGAGGGCTCAGACAGTTAGACAAGGAAGAAAAACTCATTCTGTGGTGGAGTGTTTTGGCTTGTTTTATAACATGCATGCACTTGATTGGACAGATGTGTTATGTTCTAGTTTAGTTTAACTGTTGCAATGTTTAATGGCAGTCAGAGACAGGCCAGTGAAATACCTTCCACAAAAAGAAGAGGAAACTGAGCATCACATAGCTTATAACTTTAAACTTTCGTTTTGATAAAGCTTCTAGTTAGAGTGGCTCAGGTTATCCTGAGCTATCTCTATAGTTCTGCTGCTATAGGCTTAGACTGCTGGAGGACATAGGGACCCCTTTTTCATCATTCTGCTTCATTCTATCTCTATTCTCCCACTCTGCAGAATCTGTTAGTTCAATCTCTAACGTTCTGCTCTCTCTACTTTTTCTCATAGTAGCTTCATCTGGTCTGTTCCTGTTTGGCTGTGACTCCATCCTGGAGAGAAATATCAGCTGTGCTGCTGCCATCAACACCTTTGTTTCTAGATGTTGGAGCTTGGCCTGTTTTCCAGTGTAGTCCTGTTTCTCTGACTGTGACTAACTGGATGTGCTCTCTTCATCCTCTGACATGGGAGCTGGCTCGGAGCTCGTCTGCCTGGTTGTGTGTTTCCTGGACGGGGCCGCCTGTGGAGCTGGTTGACAGTTGCCTTTTGTATCTATGCTTCTTTTTCTATGTCTGCTTCTGTCTCCTTGAACCCCAGTGGGCCTCAGCAGATGGCCGCTCACACTGAGCCTGGTTCTGCTGGAGGTTTCTTCCTGTTCAAAGGGAGTTTTTCCTCTCCACTGTCGCTACAAGCATGCTTAGTGTGAGGGATTGCTGAAGAGTCAATGAGTCGATGCAATCAGCTGGTTTTCCTTAGATAGAAAACTTTGAATCTATCTGACTGGATGATCTGGTGAACTGGAAAGTGACCTGAGATGACATGATGTGAATTGCAGCTATAGAAATAAACTGAATAGAACTTGTTGGTCATAATTTCTCCAATGTGAGATCAGTAAAGTTCAACATTTTAACACTTCTCCTATAAATGTCTTCCTTCTGATTTGTTTGCAGTAGTTTTTATTATTCATAAAACACTTTGAGTTCTTAAACTAATGAATGTGAAACACGTTTACTTCGATGTTAATTATAGAAAGTTTGTCTGTCTTTAATTTCTATTTTATATACATTTAGGTCGTCAGTTCCAATGTTTTCCTTGATGTTCAAACACTTAAGACATTTAAATGACCTAAACTTTGTTAGAGCTGGAGAGCATAGATGCTGCAGCGCGGCTTCAGGTTCCCACAGACTCACAGCTTCCTGGACTCCTGCTTGTTTAGCTTCTTTTTTCTGCTATTATTGAAGAATAATGTCATCCAGGTCAGAAGTCTTATTTATTGGGTCACATGTTGAAATGAAATAATTATCATAAAATATATTTTTTTTTACAATAAGATGAGAATTGAACTTTCTTTCAGTAGACTGAGTAAATTCTGGGTCATCATGGTGGAAACCAGAGCAGGCATCCAGACAATCAGCTGGTTTTCCTTAGATAGAAAACTTTGAATCAATCTGACTGGATGATCTGGTGAACTGGAAAGTGACCTGAGATGACATGATGTGAATTGGAGCTATAGAAATACACTGAATAGAATTTAATTCTCCAAAGACAAGCAATTCAACATGTTGCTTCCATGAAACCTCTCACTGAAGTTTCATGGAAGCAACATGAAACTTGCTTCACCAGTAAGCAGATCACAGGGGGTGCACCAGGGGGGCCATGATGTCCTGTAGAGGGAAAGACGACCCTTAAAGATTTCAGACGACAGGTATTAGAATGCAGGCTTGTTGTGATCTGATCCTGTGTTAGTGTGTTTCATAGGGATGTTGGAGTGTTTAAAACAGGAAGGATTCCCACATCGTTCCAAAGAGTTGTTAAAGATATTAGTGAATAAGGGGGCGTGTTAGTCAGAAAGCAGGCTGGACTTTATTTTCCAAGTTTTAAGACGTTTTGCTTCCCATCCAGGAAAATTAAATTCTAAATGGAAAAGGGGAGCTACCATTAGATCCTGGAATTTGAATTACATCTTTCCTATTGTCACCGAGAGGAAAAAGAGGGGGGTTGTAAAATAATTTGTTGCATCGTATTTGGATGTGAATTGCATCACATTCAAATGCGATGCAAATGTAAAAAAAGAAAAGGCCATTATATGTGTTTCCATCCACTGGAAGACTTTATGAGAGAGAAGTGTGATTCTATGTTGCATTCAGGATGCCAGTGGTTGTGGAAACAACTGATCAGTCATGTGAGATCAGAACTTATACAGCAAATATATATATATCCATCTCCATCCATTTCCATCTTCCTTGGAATCTGTTGCCCTACAAGAAAGCACTACAGCTGCCTCACCTTCCAGGCTCTTTCTAGTTCCTCCCTGAGGCTGCAGGGATTTCTCCAGTTTCCCATCTTCTTTTTTCCCAATGTTTCCATCATATGGGATGACCACATCAACCATTCTGAAATTCAATTTTTGCTGCAAAATTTTTATTAAGAAAATATATTATTACAGATCAGTCTAGGATTGATAATTTGACCAGAAAGAATCTCATTTTATACAAATGGAACAACAGAGAGGAGAGTGATTTTAATAAATGTAAAAACGGTTCACTTCATATAAACGTAGGCATTAACTCAAACAACAATCTTCTCAATTTCTGCATTAAAATCTCTAGTTCCAGTGGGGTGAATAGGCACTTCCTGTTGCTTGTTGTCATGGTGACAGTGGCGCCTCCAGAAATTTTTCATAGGGGTGGCCAGATGGGGCCACTTAAATTCTTGGGGTGGCACACTGAAGCTAATGGCCATATTTTCAGGATTTTAAGACTTAAATAAACACCTATTGATATATTTTGGGTTATTGTGTGATTTTTAATGTTACTAATGATCTAATGTGCATAGATATAGACCAGGGGTCTGCAACCTGTGGCAAGTGGCTCTTTGGACCTTCCACAGTGGCTCTTAATAACTTTGGCTACACATTATATTTTTATTGTGGTAATTAAATGTAATAATGATAATAAATACAGGTTTTAGCAGTTTTTTTCTTGGAATAATTTCTATTAATCTTCACAACAGAATGATGGTGAAAGTGCCAGTAATATTTAATTTTAAATCCATATTTTTCCATTATGTTGGAAACTATGATTTATTTTACATCCTTATCCACAAATGTCAGCATCCCATCCACCTCAAAATAGACATAAAAGGGCGTTTCTTTAACAATGACAACATATTTCCTACAGCAGATCTTTATCTAAAATATAACTTGTCCTTTTTCAAAAGGCCAGGCAACATTTGGGGCTCTGAACAAGTTTAATTCAAGTGGACTGAAGGCAAAATGGCTCTTTAGACTGTAAAGGTTGCGGCCCCTGATATAGACCAATAACAGTACAGTTAAAATTTTGAGTTGAACAATAATTGCTTTGTATTATCTAATCACATTAGGAATAAGGTGTAATTTTATTCATTTATTGAAAACTAAATTATACTGGGGAAAAGCAGATACTGGCAGATAAAAATAAGAAATTATATCTTTATTTATGTAACAGGAATTTCCCAACAGGGAACAACGGTCATATAATGATTACAAGGATACAAAAAAAAAGATTACAAGAAACACTTATATGTTAACTTATTCTTAATATATAAAAATATATATTATATATATATTATATAAATATACAGAGTCTTTACTCTAAGAATATTCGAGCCATTTATATCTGCTGTACCACTCTTTAGAAAAACATATTTTCCTGTCCCCATGACAGGTTCTAGGGAAGATGTTTAGTTGTGGCTGCTTGGGCTGTTCTGCTCTTGACTGGGAGATATCTGCAATGAAACAGGAGCAAAAGTCCGTTATTCTGAAATCAAAATGATGACACTAATAATAAATGATAATAATACCAGAATCTCCACCGTAATGAATAATTATAGCTGTATTATTGGCCTACAGGCATTTTGATTCAGAAAAATGAAAACTAACCCATCAACATTTTTTTTTTTTTATTAATCAAAATGAATAAAAAAAACTTTAAGTGAGTCCTTATTGATTTGTGATTTAATGGAAACACAAACAAAACATACATTTCTTTCGAGGATATTATTTTCTAGACAATTCACTAATTTCATTTTTATGGCCACATGGTCATAACTTCACCTGTCGGTCCAGGAACACCTGCTTTTGCTGAATCCTACCATGTTTCACTGATCAGTGGTGCTGGCTGTTCCTGCTCTGCTGCCTGATGCTTTTCCTCATCACTGTCTACTATCGCTGACTCTGTTTCCTCGTCATGCTGCTCTATCTGTTGCTTCCCTCCATCCACCTCCTCTTTCTCCTCCTTCTCACTCGCTCTCTGTTGATCCCCTGTCATCTCTTTATCTCTTTCCACTGTTATTTTCTTCTTAAAATAAGAAGATATATCTCTGGACTTTCTCTTCATTGTCTGGAAATTGACAAACCATACATAAGCACAAACAACGTTAGCTACGTAACTCTGTCAAAAAGACACTCAAAGTCGCTGTAACAGGAGCTGATACAGTTCATTTATGCCCCTCTTCTTTTACAAACGAACGATTTGACTTATTTACTTACCGTTAGTCTTGTTCGCTTTCTCTATGAGTTCTTTTAATCACTGTTGAAGGCGGGCACGCGCTAAACTGTAGCTGTCTGAGAACGCAACTGCTGCTCGATGGGACGGAGTGGGGGCGGGAGGGGGAGGGGAGCGGCTGGTGAGCTACGGTGCGCGAGAAGGTCTAGAAGAGCGGCAGTGTTGCTGGCTCTGCATAATGGGATAAACCGCTAAACTGACGCTACTACCATTTACACTGGCGAGTGGGGTGGCCAGTGGGGTGGCCAGCAAATTGCCAGGGGTGGCCGTGGCCACCCCTGGCCACCCCCTGGTGGCGCCCCTGCATGGTGACTCATTAAATCGGGGCTCTACTGATAACGGCTTTTTATATTTGTTATGCTGGTTAAGCTAACTCACAGCAGCTTTTATAAAACAGAAAACTCAGAGTTTCAGAGTTGAGGATTTGAGTCTGAGTTTGTTAAACCTGCTTTTTGAAACAGACCTTAGAACATTTGACTCTCTGGTCACTACTGGTTTAAACCAGATTGGAACGGCACGTCATCCACAGACTCACATTCACTCACATTCTGCCTCACCAACGTTTCCTTTCTTTAGTTCTGCCTCTAATCTCATCCACACCTTGGAAGATATATTGAAATGTAATATATGTAAGTTTGTTTTCACCAGAGTCGTTCCTAAAGCAACATAACAGTCTGGTGTTGTTTGGCCATCTGCTCCCAGAGCTGCTAACTGACCATTAAGACCAATTATAAGTGAAGGGATTAACCTGAAGAAAAACACTATCCCCAAGAGGAATGCTCTGGATGATATAATTCTGTCAGCTGGGATTACATACAGTGCAGTGTGCTTTGCTCCAACCAAAGGACAGTGAGAGCCAAGCAGATATGGTCATAAAATCAGCTTTTATCCATTAAAACGGGCAAAATACTTTTTCATTAACTGCATCAGCTTTCCTTGATTTAACCTCAATTAATCTCAAGCGTGTCGTCTGCTTGACTTCACTCTCCTAAACACTGAAACACACTGGGTTAGAATTGGTGGAGAGCTCCTTCGTTCGCCCATCCAATGGTCTCAGAGGCAAAACTGTCAACGTAGCAAAAAAATATAAGAAAAACTCTTCCGTATTTCAAAAGACTCTCATCTACGTTTACAAGATTTCATTCCGAAAACAGTCAGAATCACATCTTAAGGGCTGTTTATCCTCCAGCAGCAGTGTGTAGCAGTTAGCTTGTCGCCGGTATGATGCAGATATTTTTGATTTATGCCCAATATTGAAGTCTACGCTCTGCTATTCTACACTAGAGACTGACACGGGAGTGGATTTTCACTCCTGTCCCGTCCCACTCCCACAGAAAAAAATTGTGTCCCGTCCCGATCCCGGGCCAGAGTAGAAATTTAAATCCTGTCCCGTCCCACTCCTGGTGAAATTACTCCCGCTCCTGCACCACTCCCATTCTTGTTTTTGAGCGCGGGTGAAAAACTTTACTATTGGTTTGCTCCCGCTCCCGTCTGCTCCCGTTAATGTTTAATCCTGTACCGTCCCAATCACGTGATTGTTACTAATACTGACCATCTGGTCCCACGGAAAAAAAATGTCAGTCTCTATTCTACACCACAACGCAAGAGGGACAATCAGGAACTAGCTAGGATTGTGGGTGTGGTGGGGTGGCGTGTTTCTCTTCCGGTAACGGAGGTCATTCAACAGCAATGATCACCGGACCAACGCGCACTATGAGCTGTCCTTTTCGTTTGGAGAACAGGACGCGTTCAGATGTGCGTATTTCCTCACTTCTTCGCACACTCGCTCTTCTAGCTGCTCCATCTTCACCACTCGTTTTCCACAATAGAGGTCATACAAAACAAGCTAGTAAGGTACCAAACAGGAACTACGCATATTGCTGCTGTCTGTTTGGAGTGCAGCTAATGGACGGATCCAATATGGTGGACACAATAGAGGCCGACGAGAACGCGAGTACATACTCGCGTTCTCGTGAAGTCCGTTCTTGGCGAGAACGCAGGAAGATCGGACTTGACGAGAACGCGAGCACGCAAGCACGTATGTGTATTGGAACAGAAGCGTACTCGTGATGTCATAACATGCGACGTTCTTGAGCATTTCTTTAACAGTCAAAACTATTTATTCCCTACACAAAACATTTTGAAAATAATATTTTTAATTTCTAAAGCTTAAAAAAACATTAAAAAAATTGGACGTTTGGCCGAATTAAAGCAAAAAACCGCCATCAGAACGAGCGGTAGTTAACACATAACTAGACCGAGAGAAGTGCACTACAGACGGGGTAACATTAGCCCTGGCTGCGGTCACTCTGGTCCGCTCAACGTCTGACTTTTTTTTTAAATTTCGCACTAACTCTGTAAACAGGCCACACAGGGAGGCTTCAATGTATAATGTTATCGCCTCAAACGATTTCAAAACGTACTTTTGAAGAACAACAGCAGCAGAAAAGTGAATGTTTAACTTACCACTGTGAGCGCTGTCTGGAATCAAGCTGCGGCCGCGGGGCATTCTGGGGAAGCGGTCAGTCTGAAGAACGCACAAGTCTGCTCTGATGCATGCTCGATAAAGAGGGCGGGGCGAGAACAACATCCGGAGATTTGGTGCGTTCTCGATCTGACGTCCTCGCAAGTACATCCCGCTGCAGCCTGGCTGCAGCGGGATGCTTCTCCGTTCTCGAGAATTGGAACGGTACTCGGGCTGAGGCTGATGACGTGTCACGAGTACACGAGAACGCTCAAGAACGCATATTGATTAACGGCCAGAGTTTTATGGGGGCCCAAGTGTTTCTTGGAGGATGAGAAAATGATTGTGATAGAGCGGAATACTATATAGTTGTGGCTGAGATCTCAGATAATTCGTAGAGATAATGTCTCTAGTCTGCAGGAAACTCCCTCAGACTCACTCAGAGACCTGAAATGTGTGTCAGCGACAATCCCAGCAAGCCCCCCCCCCACACACACACACCTACATACCCCCATGTTGACAGTAATCAGGAGGTCAAAGTGTTTTCATGGCACACATTCCCTCTGGTTGCTCAGTTCTACATTTCTTATCATCACCTTTAAGCTCTAATATCTGAGCATCTAAATAAACTGACCTCAGCTCTTTAGGTGCACTTTTCACATCAAATGTTTATTTTGCCATTTTGACTATTTCTAAACACCTTTATATTGTTTCCTCATTCTATTTTTCTGTTTAAGGAAATGTTCTTTGGTTGTCTTTAAGTTTTTTACACCCCCCCCCCCCCCCCCCCCCTCCTCTCCCTTCACATTTCCTACACTTTCCAGGGAAGTTAACCACCAAAGCACGCCCTCCTCCCTAATACCTCCCCCTCTCCTCCCTCCTCTGTGCCAGAGGAGAGGAGATCTCAACCAGAGAGCCGACAAAGCGCAGCAGAGCTGAGCTGGCGGCCCCAGCAGCACATTCCTACAGCTGTTCAAAGCTGAGGAAATCCTCAGGGCTGAGGTAGGCTTCCCTGCAGCTGGGAGTCAAAATGACTTCAGTGTAATGAAAGTTTTCTAGCCTGACATTACGGCTGACTTTCTCCTCTAGCTGTGAGTATTTATGTCTTTTATACTCAGAATATAGCTTGAAGATTTCAGGGTTGCAGTGTTGAATGCAGTTTGGGTTCAGTGCAAAACTTTTTAATGTTCTTTACACTCATTTTGCTTTTAGGTAGAATCCAGCAGGAGACATTGATTCTTGGAAATCAGTGATTAATAAAGAGGACAGACGTCAGGAAGTCTCCTATCAGGACAGAGCTGAAGGAGCGGGTCTAACGCAGTCCAGACCTTCAGCATTTCACCCCTTAACCTCTGTCCATTAATCCCTCCCCCCTCAGTAAACTGACTGGGGGGCATCTCCACAGGAACTCAGCCTCAGACATTAACTGAAACACCGTGCGCTACTTTCCCTACTTGCCCCCCCGTGGCAGCTGCTGTGTGGATGGAAGGTCAAACTCAGGCTCCAATGGGGGAGTCGTGTCACCCCCGTTCTCCCTCTCCAGAGGGGGAGACTGTGTGTGCAGCTCTGGCTCGTTTTGAGAACACTTTGCAGGATGCAATCAGGAACATCCAAGCGGAGGTTAGCACTTTTAAGCTGGATATAGAGCGGCGCTGTGAGGAGACGGCCAACCTGAGCGGCCCCCTGGGACGGGCGGTCCTCCAGCTCCAGCAGGAGAACCAGCAGCTCCGGAACCAGCTGGAGGCTCTCACAAGGCAACTAGAGCTCCTTAACGGTGGAACGTGTGAGTGGAACATGATAAGCAATAACCACAATCACAAGAATGAACTGCATGATGCCCAGAGGAACCACCAGGACGTGAAGGAGGTGATTCATGGCAAAGGTCAAGTGAGCACCCAGAGCCAGGCTCCTCACCACATGCAGAACTTCCCTGTGGAAAACCTGGCGCCGTCCTACAACAGGCTCAGCAGTCAGTCGAACCGTGCCACCCGGTCCTCTTCCCCCACCATATGCAGCAGTCCTCCAGCTGCTTCCAAAGGATCCTCCATGGTTCTGAGCCCGGGGACGAGCAGCAGCCCCTCCATCACGCGCTTCTCCAGCAGAGCTACCTTCGCTGTTTCCAGCATGACCAACGTAAGACAAGCAAACCTTTACTTTACTGCTGTGTTTTAAAACTAATGAATCCTGCAATTATGATAAATCTGTTTTAATCATCATTCATGTCATGTGACAATGCCAATTAACTTTAAATCTATTATTCTAGTCTCACCATCTAGGTCACACATTCTAGCCTAAAATAAGAATGTAACACACTGGAGACCCACTAAAGATACATGGAATTATTTAATTCACCTTTTTAGATGTATTTTTTAATTATTCAATGGGTCAGTTTGAAATTTAATGGTAGATTTAATGTTGTAAGGAAGAGGATTAGGGCCACTAAAGAAATAAAAAACAGTTAACTGAAGTTTTTAAATATTATTTCAGTTTAATATGGAAAAAAAGTCAGAATTCTGACTTTAATCTGAGAATTGTGGATCTTAATGTAGATGGGCCCCATGAGTAATTTGGAAGGAACAGGAACACATTGATTGATTTCATGTATAAACATGCATATCTTTATCCCGTGCGGGCAGTGCTTTTATTTTATTTGATTTATTTTTATTTATTTTAGTTATTTTATCTTATTGTGCAGCACTTTGGAAACCATGTGTTTATTGAAATCGTGCTATATAAGTAAAGTGGATTGGACATTGATGGAAAATGATGGAATTAGGCGAGTTTTTCCATCCTTGGTGATGCTACTTCATTAATGGAAGAGCAGAAGGTGAATAAAACCAGAGAGATAGTCTCTAAAACAGACATGGCTACGGCTGGATGCTAACATGTTTGTTAGCTGAGATTAAGGATAGATTAAAGTCGGAATTCAGACTTTTTACTCAAATTATACTGAAAATCTAAGTAAGTAAGTTATAATAAAATCAGTTAACTTTTTTTTTCCCCAGTGGCCCTAATCCTTTTCCTTAGAATTGTGTATTACATAAATAAATAAAAGTAAAATCTACTTAAGGCCGGCATACATTGTGCAATATTTGTTTTATTAAATTTTTTATTGTGCAATATTTTCGATTGTTGCTCGCAGCTACAGCTCACGCTGTACGATGAAAGGGCAGAGTTTAAAAGTTCACAGCTACTGATGGCGCTACTCGGACTCGTCTATCTGGAAGCCAAACGATTAGCAGAGGAACATGAAGCTCACTAGAGAGAAACGCGCTGCCTTGGATATTTGGACAATTTTGTGCTTGGAAAATTCTCGCATGACAGGAGAATCGTAGCCTCGTGAGACCATCCTGATCTCGTGAGCTTTCAAGGTTTCACTCCCAGATCAGTCTGGAGACTCTCCGTTAAAGAAAATTTAGAGCCGTTCACCAAACGAACGTCCAATCAGCGTTGGCTTTGAGGCGGGTTGAGGTGTGACGCAACGAGAAGCGCGACAGTTCAGTCTAAAGAACATGGCAGCTTCAGCCGATGAAACTAGTGTTAACATGGCTATCGAGCAAGTTTTATCGGAATTACAGAGTATTTCTTCACTGAAAGAAGAGCAAAACACTGCTCTGGAGGCTTTTCTCAGAGGAAAAGATGTTTTTGCTCTTCTCCCGACTGGTTTCGACAAGAGTAGCCTGGCTGTTAGTACGTCATATGCTCCGTTGATCTGATTGGTTTATTTGGCCCGTCTATCACCAACATAGGCCAATCAGCTAACCAGTATTTTCGCCCCTTCCCAAAATTACTTCAATGGAAGGTTTCCAGATGGATATGCGGAGCAAATCCATCTGGCGGAGTCAGGTTAGGAATTAGGAGACTTTTCTTTATTGTCATTGTAAACAATACAATGAGATTTGGAGAGCAGCTCCGTAAAAATGTAGCCTGACGTAGTCCTACTCAATTCTAGTCAGAATGAGTCTGATGCTGCTCCATAGAGCTGTGATTATGGGGCGTGTTTCGAACGAACCAGGAAAAAAAATGCCTCTGCACTCAATTGGATAGACCTACAACCAATAAGAGCAACGAAGTGCGTGACGTATGTTAAGCCACGCATAGTTGTTGTCCACAAAAATCAAAGCGTGCAGTTGCACGCCTAGAATAAGAAGATGAGACTTGATCGCGTTTCTCTGTTCCTCTTTTAAAATTAATTTGCTGTCGATATCTTCTAGAACAGACCTAATAGCAGAATCTACTCACCTCAACTCTCCAGCGGCAGCCATTGTTGTTGTCACTCAAGCGCGCATTGGTCACGTGGTTGATTACGTTACTGTTGGTCATCTGTCCATCATCGTATAAAGCCCGCCCTGACAATTTGATTGGATCGCCTGACAGTGGGCGATAATACTGGCGCTACTATGGAGCAATGCCAGACCGAACTTCCCCGACCTCAAACTTTGTGGGCGGGACTAAGTTCGGAATGGCACCCAGGCTAGTAAAAATGCACACATAAATAACATATACAATACATTAGTGCAAGTACGAAACGTAGGTTGAGTATGGTGACAGCTGGAATGAAAGAGCAGAAGGTGATTAAAACAAGAGAGCTAGTCTCTAAAACAGACATGGCTACGGCTGGATGCTAACATGGTTGTTAGCTGTCAGAATTCAGTCAGAAATCTGAGATTAAAGTAAGAATTCAGACTTTTTTCTCAAATTATGCTGAAATAAAATGTTTAAATCCGTTAACTTTTTTTTTTCCAGTCGCCCTAATCCTTTTCCGTAGAATTGTGTATTAGATAAATAAATAAATGTAAAATCTCCTTAAGGCCGGCATACATTGTGCAATATTTTTTTTATTTTTATTGTGCAATATTTTCGATCGTTGCGCGCAGCGACAGCTCACACTGTACTCAACTCAACTCGACTTTATTGTCAAATGTGCTACATGGTAAACATACAACACAGTTGAAATTGCAGTCCTCTCAACCCCACAGTGCATAATAAAATATAAAATATAATGAACCATAGCATAAAAATAAAAAAAATTATATATATAAAAAAAATAGAAATAAAAACCTAAGATATAAAAATAAATACTAACTTTTAATATTAAACATTAATTGTACGATGAAAGGGCAGAGTTTAAAAGTTCACAGCTACTGATGGCGCTACTGGGACTTGTCTATCTGGAAGCCAAACGATTAGCAGAGGAACATGAAGCTCACTAGAGAGAAACGCGCTGCCTTGGATATTTGGACAATTTAGTGCTTGGAAAATTCTTGCATGACTGGAGAATCGGCCCGAAGGGGCAAAGGTCATACAGTGTTTGCCCGGCATTACTCTACGGTTATTTATTTCATGGGACATTCACATGTATATATTTTAAAATATATTTCGGCCCTTCATATACCACAGGGATCCCATTACAGTGATTAATAAAAAGCCTCTGACGACAGTGGAACCCCTAATCAATAACTTAGCAGATGTATTCACCCAATATTTCCAAAGCAATCAGCAGAGATGTGTATTTTTTTTTATTAACTATCAAGTTTTTAAGCTAATTAAATGTTTATGTTCGCAGATAAATTCCTTCTTTTGTTTCCTTTTCTTTAATCCTGAGCTGTATCACTTTTCACCAGGCTGCACTTCAGGTTACAGGTGTCCTCATTGATCACCTTTCATTCATAATGTTCGTTTAGCTTGAGCCAGTATAAGTCTGCGTGTTATTCTATCACTTTTCTTTCAAACAGCAAGAATTTCCCTTCTGGGCAGATCCTGCTTTATGTCTCCAAACGCTGAAGTGTCCATCCGTACACATCCTTTGCTCCATAACTCAGCTGCTTCTTATGCAAACGCCGTTGCTTTTTTTAACTTAGAAGGAAAGAGAGGATTAAAAAGCCAAAAGGGAAACTTCAGCATGTTGAGCAGAGAAATATTGCATTTAGAATGAAGCGATCTGAGCCGTGTTTGCACAACAGCTCTCTGCCAGGATGCTTAAGGATTTATGGAGCGCAGTAATATGAGTCGCAGCTCTTGGGAGGTGAGATTGGTGTGGTTGAGTGGGTTTTCAGACCTGATGTGAAATCAGTGTTGTGAAATGCAGGCAGTGGTTGGTCACTGTTACGTTTGTCCTGCCTGAACCATGTGGGTCCAGTTTAAATGAGTTCTAAAGGAAAAGTCGCTCATTTTCAGAAGTTAAACTTCTGAAATCTGGAATTATTCCATCCTGTTCAATAATTCAGAGTAATTTTCATGTGAATGTGCTTTACTGGAGGCATCCATGTTTGTCAAAGAACACTACTGCCACCTACTGGTTAGTGACATTGTCACGGTGCGGTATCGGCTGTTGATCAAGTCCCAGTGCTGTATCTGGTGTTTGTCACAACGCGCTATTATCCAAGTCATCTTGAAAACATTCTTCTTCCAAATGTTGGCTACATATTACGGGTTTTTTCTCTGGCCAGAAGTTCGATGGCAAATCCTCCCTCTTCAAGTTGGCGATCCAACGACCAACCCGTCCGTGGAGGATCAGGAATCAGAAAGGTGGAATAACTCTTTTTTTCACTTTTACCCGATGTATTCCAGCATCCAGCTGCCATGCACGTGGGCATTGTCAGTTTCACTATAGCTCTGGTGAATTTCAATGGTGAAGTCCTCTGGAAATCTTCAATAATTGTTGTTGATTGCAGATGTGTCTAGTAGTTCCCATTGATTTAGCTTGGAAAGCGGGGAGAATGGCGCTAGGCTTACCGCAACGTGACGTCACTGCTGGAAGATGGCAGGAGGGAGGGGCTACTATATTTGGGCTAAAATGGCCGCTCCCAGTGATCAGTGATCGCCACGAAAAAAATTTATTTTTATTTTATTTTCTGTGATTAACGCTAAACTCATGAAATCGCAGCGAACATATTAGTTTTACGTATCAATAATGATCCATTAATTATTGCTAAACCTTATGACTTTTCCTTTAAGTGATTTAAAAAAATGACTTTTAATGATTTTATTCATCATAATAAATGTTATTTGACTATTTAAATTATTAATTTAAATAAAATATTTATTTATTGATATATTTAATATTTTGGTATTAGATCAATAAATAAATGTATAATTTCCAATGATTGTGAAAATCATCTAATCCTAAATCG